GGCGATCCCGTGGTCGGAAGAATGTTCTGGAAGTGAAACCGAAATCGGAGTCCATGGCTCACGTGCAAGCCGCCTGTCAAAATGGCTTGCGCTTCTATCACACACACCCGGCAAATGAAAACGCCGAATTGGCGGAAATTATCAATGAAAACTGTCCAAAGTCACGTAACGCCACACGCCCGCACCGAAAACCACTCGAATAACTTAGTTGTTCGTTTTAAATTTACCATTTTCTCTGCTTAATTAGTCGGTTTTTGATCACAGAATTTTCGAATACCACACGGGCGCAACAAAGCGACAAAGAAAATGGTGGAGACAGTCGATGGTTGTTATCGATTACACTCGGCTATCGGTTATAAATACAGACAGCGGAAAAGTACTAACGCGTGCACGAACTTAAATACCAGAAGCAGTATCGCCAAGCACCAACAATCGATATTTTGCAGATATCGATATTTATGAGCGCTAGTTTCGAAGGAACCAAAGAAATCATGTGCAATATAGCTTAGAATTAGATCACGCGCCTAAAAGTTAAGAGGGAACACATTGATTTACTTAATTTAAGTATATTTCCAATCAGGTAAACATAGGATGCAACAGTCTAGCGCGGACTCAGGCCCCGCTTTCGCCCTTGGCAGCCAGAGCCTTCTCCGCTTTCTTGGCCTTTTTGGCCTGCTTCTTGATGAACTCGCTCTTGTCGAGATTGTTCTGGAAGAAGGTGGTCTCCTTGCGGGCCTGCGACACCTCCGTGTGGAGCCGCTGCTTGTGCACCGCCTGCTCGTAGTTCATACGCTCGGTTAGATGGACCCACTTGAAGCGCGGTAGGTACTTCATGCTCCACAGCGAGTCGTAGAACTGGGACTTCTTGCGCGTGGAGATCTGCTTGTTGTTCAGCAGGGGAACGATCTGTTTGGCCACCCGTTTCGACTCGAATTCCACCCAGCCCTCGGTGAAGTGGATATTATAACGTTTGCGTTTGTTCTTCTTCGCCTTTGCACCTAGAAATATTCAGATTAATACATATATACTGAGTAGTCAGTGGGTCCTATAAGCCCATTGTTCCACTCACTTGACAGCTTCTCTGGCTGCAGGTAAACCCTGCCGATGGTTCCGTACTCGCCAAGGATTTCCCGCAGGCGTGTCACATTCATGTGCTTGGGTATATTGGATATGTAGATGATGCCTTTCTTGCGTTTCTTTGCGGGAGCAGATGAACTGGAAGTGGCTTTGAAGTTGGCCAGGTCCATTTCATCGTCGTCATCCGAGGGATTTGTATTCTCTGGTTGCGGCTCATCCGAGTGCGTCTCCTCTGGTTCACTCTCGTCCACATCCATGGAAACGGGTTTGTCTCTTGACTTGGTTTTCTTTTTCATTTTCTTCCTTGTGTTTGACTTCTCCGTTGACTAAATAAAAGTTGTAGTGCACGCTATTAGGGATGACAGTTGGCAGGCGATGTTAGTCTACGTTTTTATCGGATGGCTATCGATGTTTTGGTACCCTTTAATTTAAGAAAGTATACTCGGCTTTCTAAGCATTTCGATTTCATGGGGATATTGCGTGTAACAAGAGTCTTAATAATACTATCCGATCACCAGTCCCTATGAGAATTGTGAAATATGACATTAATGGAAGTATCTTAACTTATCACACAATAATCCATTTAATTAAAATTTTAAAGATTCAAAACTACGCTTCTGGTTTCTCCGAATCGGCGACGCCAGCCAGCACCGACTCCTTGCTGATGTCCAGAAACGAGGCCTGTGACATCTCCGTATCGTCCTCCTCCTCCTCGATTTCCATCTCGAAAATGGTCATCTTGCGCTTGCGATCGGATAGAACGGTGGCCACCTTCCTGCTGCCCGAGACGGCCAACATGTCGCACAATCCGTCCAAGCCCTTGAAGGCGGCGCCATCGACAATGTCATGGATGCTGTGCGTCACAGTGGCCTCCTTCAGCTTGACCAGCGGCCCCATTTGGTGCTGTGTGCTCTGATTCCGCGCCGCGCTCAGTGAGAATTGCACGAAGAAACTGTGCGGTCGCATGCCAGGTGCCGCATTTGTGGACTGAGCCAGTATCGATAGCGAGGATTCGTTGTAGAACTGCAGGTCGACGAATCGTAGGTAACAGAAATCTTCGTGAACGGATGTTGTGAATGGTCCTGGCTCCAGCTTAATCCTGGTGCACCGCACCCATCCATCGCCCGCTCGACTAAACTCGAGAATCATTGCCTCCTGCCAGCTGATGGTGCAGGCCAACATGTCACTCCTAGCCACTTCGTTAACGTAGTAGCTGCAGGTCACGAACTCCCTATCCTTCAGGCCCTCGTCGGGCTCCATGGGCGGCAGATCGTTGCATATTACCGTCGAGGACACCTTGAAGCTCCCGCTTATGCTCTCCGTTGGCTTATGGAACACGGCATCGATGGCATTGAACATCTTGTCGCGTTGCTGCACAAGTGACAGGTTCAGGTCGTGAGGCACAAACAGTTTGCAGTGGCTTAGGCATTCGTTCTCGGCTACCATCTCCTCCCACAGCTGGCTTGGATCCTTAGGATAGGGCTGTGTCAGGTAGGCATTATCCAGATACTGTCCCACGCGCTCAAGATTGAATTTGCTGCGAGCAGGCGGCGGCGATTCGGATAGCGGATCCAGTTCGTCATCATCATCGCTCCGATCGTCCAATTCTGGTTCCATGGAGCAAAGAAAGTCGGCCATGGCAATGTTCTCCTCCTCGGTGAGCACCAGGTCCTCGGGAATCTCTTGATGCGACAGCCGGAGTATTGTGAATATCATCCAGGCGTGAAAGAGCTTCATGTCGTACACCAAAGTGTCGATTGTTCGCTGCAGCTCGTGTACTTTGAGTACAAATGCTCCACAGGCTCGCATCGCTTCGGTGGCCACATCCGGAGAGATCAGGGACTGGAAAGGATGCAGACAGTAGTTACAATTAATGGGAAACCAGCTAATCCCCAACTAACCTCAAAAAAGTGCGACATGCGACCGAATCCCGCGATTGTGTTGAGGAAATAGAACATGTTTATTGCGGATCCGTTCAGCTGCTTGAAGACTAGGCTCTGCAGATTGGTTAGACTGAGGTCCACCGAGTTGGCAATCTTCTTGAAGCCCTTCTCGGAAAGAGTCCTGCGAGATGTACATGTCGATATGATGATCATGAGGTTCGACTAATAAATTTGCAACTCACTCGAACAAAAACTCCTCTACCTCGAAGGTAGCGAATCCAAAGACATGCAGCTCCAGAAAATGGGCAGAGATCAGTCCATACGGCTGGGAGTTGGCGTACTTCGTTAGCTTGTTGTCCATCTCCAGTTGCACGGTCTCCCAGGCTTCCGTCAAACATTGTTGCGTGTCATTAATATAGCTGTGCGCCAAACTATGATTAGTAAAATAACTTATTGGCATATAATTGCATTACTTTTTGGTTTCCAGGATGTGAGCACAATGCGTTGCCAACTCCAGCATGGGTGCCATGCACTCCTGCAGCACCTGGTTGTGAAAGTGCAGCAACTTCAGCTCCTGCCCGTCCCGCAAAAGAGCATAAATGGCATTGAAGTCTCCGTTCAGCCGCACGTCGTACACATCGAACTGCTCCGGATGCAGAATGTGCTGGGTGAGATCAATGCTTCCCGCCTGCAGAGCTCCCAGAAGCAGTAAGTGCACCTTGCCGCTGCGCATTATCACTACCAGGAAGCAGGGCGAACCCTTGGGAAAGGACTTTTGGTCCAGTGTTTTCAGGCAGGGATCAATATTGGTCAGTGGCTGCAGCTTGGGCAGAAACCTTCGGTGCTTATCCTTGGCACTGCATGTGTAGGTTCCTGGAATTGGGTGTTAATGACATAGTTTTAATGTGTTAATAACATCAAATCCTCATTGGGACATATGCAACGCTGGCTTACCTAGGTTCTCCTGCGAGTTGATGGCCTTGCTAAAGTATACCTTCTTGATGTCATCCTCGTAAATGAGGCCCGAGATGATCGTCTCGCTCTCAGCGTCCAGGAGCGCCACCTTGCCGTTGCTGTAGCCAACGGCCAGGAGTGTCTCGTCCATTTGCCAGCTGAGCGAGCGCACCCGCACATCCTCGCCAGGGGTGGGAAAGGTGACAATCTTCTGCCAGTTAAGCCGCTGTATGACCACCTCACCTAGCCACAGGAGAAGGATAAGCCCACTGGCAATATATTTCGTTTCTTGGCTATTCCGGATGCAGATGCTCACCCTTCTCCGTTCCGTAGGCAATCAGATCCATCTTGTTGTTCCATTCCATGCGCTCCACAATGCAGGACATGTTGCGGGCGCCCAGCAGCTTCATGGAGCTAGTTTGCGTCATCTTTCCACGCTAGGATTTGCTCGCAGCGTCTTTACATCAAATACTTCAATTCAATTGCAGTCCAATGTTTTAGTTTACACTTTGCCGGCGCCTGTCGAAAGTGTATCGATTAATCCGGTTATCGATCAGAGATGGGCGGAAATAATAGCTAGTCAAAATGAGCAATTTTTAACTTGCATGTGTAAAATATATATATTTGTATAAAAACTTCTGCTGCAGCAGGAAAGTATGTATATTTCTGATTAAAACTTCTGTATCATTGTACTTATGTGCACCTTGGCAAATCATCTGCTTAAACAATTTCGTTTTATTCATATAAATTCTTGGGTCTTAATAATCTACATAGTTTTATATGCTTTCGTTTACTGGCTGCGTTGATATGGAAAATAAAGAAAAAATCGAGATAATTTTAATTAAAGTATTATAAGGAACTTGATAGTTGCCTGTGTTAAAAATAAAAGAGCTAAAATCCTGGCTACAAAGACGCCGGGTGGGCAGCACAATTGGCGTCTTTTGATTTCCATGATAAGATATGGGCAATTTCACTTTGTGACTATTATAACTTTACAGTGGTCAAAAATGAGATGTTTTAAATGGAAAGATGGTTCTTCAGTACTCTTTCCATGAGTCCTTTCTAAGAGATACGCTTAAATGCGTGTTATGTGCTTATACAACTTTTATAGGGTTCAAAAGTAAAGGTAGTTGTTTAAAAAAATTGTACAGTTCAACTTATAGATTATTTATATACTACCGCGGACTCCCGCCAGAACTTTAGCTTATCCATTTTATTGTTTGTATCTTAAAGGCTACGCTACGAAATATGTATGTATATCGTATTAAGCCGGTGTGTATGTATCCACAAAAGCGGGTTAATCCGGAACAGTCATTTGTGTCTGCCACTCAACTAGTCATCTGCATCCGGCTGTCCGTTGTCCAGCTCGCTACTCTCGTCCGGCTTGACGTTATCGTCCTGATTGATGCTGCCAATGGGGCTGGCCGGTTCGGGATCCTCCTCGTCACCGCCATCTGCGTTGCTGCCGCCGCCGGTGGTGCCCACGCTGCCGGGAGCGGTATCATCGCCGGCCCCACTGCCGCCGACGGAGCCCAGGCCACCGGAGGATCCTAAAATGCCAGAATTGCTATTCCCATTGCCGCTGCCCGTGTGCCAGGTGAGGCGCTCCTCATAGAACTGGATGACCACCTGGGGACACCGAATGTTGGCCAGCTTGGCGGGCACCAGGTCTGCATGATCGCTGCCCTTCCACTTCATCAGGAACATCAGGTGGCCGGATGAGTCGGTGGCGCCAAGTATTTTTGATGGTTCCAGACCGCGCTCGAAACCAATCAGCTTCTTCTGCTCCTCGGTATCGTCCTCCAGGAAGCTCTTGCGCTTGCTGCGAATTGAGTCGGGTGTGGAGGAGGTGGACAGGCGCTTCTTGGTCTCCTTTTTGTTGTTCTTCAGCGATTCCTCGAAGTTGGCTATCAGGTCCGGACAGTCGAGATTTTCCACCGGCTCCCAGGTGTTCTCGCTGCGGGGATAGCCTTTCCATTTTAGGTAGTATTCCGTGCGTCCATTCACCGTTCGCTTGTCCTCTACGCGTTCCACTGAGAATTCGGCCATTGTTTTCCGGTTATTTCGTTATTCCAAGTGGGTATTTTTATTCTTGGCGTCCAAAACTTATTTATACGTCCGATTATAGAGATGGAAGAAGAAAAAATCAAGATGGGCAACTCCATGCAACTCGTGCCAACTATCGCCAGCTATCGCCATCGGTCAGGTAAATAAAACAATACGCTGAAACTTAAAAAATAAATTCAAATTTTACGCTCTTCAATTTTAATTTGATCAATCTCATGACCAATTTGAGCTATTTTCTAATCATTTTTAACGGCATTTTCTACCATCCCTAGAAGCGATAACTCTCCAGGAATTGGACAATCGATAACAGGCCGTTTCGTTGCACGTGCGCTAGTTTTTAAAGAAATAAACAATATTACTAAATACGGTTAAGGAAAAACGAAGCGAATATGGCCGAGTTCATAGCTGAGATGCAGGAGCGCCTGCTGCCGGAGTACGAGCAGATGAAGAACTACAGCGTATTCACGGCGGATCAGGTCAGGTGAGATATCCACAAAAGTTTGCAGTCTGTGCCCCCATTTAATCCCTATTCTTGCAGAGAAATCGTTATTAGGCGGGAACGCCTATTCCTGAAGATTAACAAGAGCCACCAGAGCATCAGCGACTACCTGGACTTCATACTGTACGAGAAGCACATGCACATGACCATCGTGGACAAGGAGAAGAAGATGCACGTGAAACTTACCGGTCTGAAGGCCTCCATAGCCACGCGGATCATGCGTCTATACAGAGAGGCTCTGGCCAAGTTCAACCACGACAGACGGCTGTGGAGCAACTGGATCAAGTTCAGCAAAAAGTCAAATCCCGTTGAGGTGGCGGGCATTTACGAGAAGATGCTGCTGGTTAGTATTTGCCGGTCTGCTCACTTTCATTGATTACTTACTCCAGTCTTATATGTAGTACCATGGCGACTCGCCGGATCTTTGGGTGGACGCCGCCTTATGGCTGTACGAGTACAATCGGCTCAACATAGACCGAGTCAAGGACATTCTACTGCGCGGCTTGCAGAGACATTCGGATTCCGAGGCACTTAACAAGTGCTTCTTTGACATAATGCTGAAAGAGGCTGCCCTGGCCAACAACGAACGTAATCTAGCCGAGAACACGCTCTCGGAGCAGGACATTAAACTGGAACGCGTGGAGGCAGTCTACCGCAACAGCATGGCCAATATTACTCAATTGGACTATTTCGTTAAGCTCCTAGAAAGCTGTGAGGATCATCAGGAATTGACGGGCAAGCTGCAGCGTATGATAATCGATGATATGCAGGAGAAGTTCCCCCGTGAGCCGGGCCTGTGGGATCTGCTTGCCCAGCGAGAGCTGCGCGGCTTCCATCTGGGCGACTTGGAGGATGAGGACTTGGATACCAGTGATGAAGAGCCGGCCAGCAAGAAATCCCGATCGGTAAATGCCCGCTCTCTCAAGCGACGCATTCAACTCTGTGTGACTGTCTACAAATCGGCAGTGGAGGAGCTGCAAACGACAGAAATGTGGAATATGTATTTGGATGCCATGCTGGCCCTTAATAGCGATGGAAAGGCGGAGCGTATCCTTAAGCAACAGTGCCTAGCGGATGCCCTGCAGGCGGGCCATCGGTCCCAGTTGATGGGCGTGAAACACTATGCCACACTGAGAAAGATGCTTTGCACTGCTCCGAGTGGAAGAGAGGCAGCTGTCACCATTCTCACAGAAGCCATGAAGAACGATTCTTCGGTGGAGATGCACGAGCTCCTTCTGGCCACGCACATCCAAAGCGACAGTGAGCCATTGATCTATGAGCTCTTCAACAAGATCCAGAAGAGCATGGGCAGTGAGGCGTTACCGCTGTGGCGCAGTGTCATTCTGTACTATCGCACTCGGCAGGACAGCTTGGGCGCACGCCGGCTGAATGAGATCTACGGCATCGCCTGCAGGGCTGCGTGGCCGGAGTTTGGCGAGCTGCGTTCCGACTATCTGCGATATCTGTGGCAGGAGCGGTCCGTAGAGGAAGCACGCAAGGAGTACGCAAAGCTGGCCGTTCTACCGCCCATGTCGCTGGAGCTGCACCGCCAAATGGTTCAGCTGGAGTCCAGCGCAGCAGTTCGCGTAAGTTTTCCTGTCTTGTTTGCCATGCATTTTCGAAATGCAACTAATTTACTTCATCTCTTGCTCTCCGACAGGACCAGGCCAGCCTCAAATACTGGCGCATGTGCTACGACTTTATGGCCTGCTACTTTGGCAAGTCAGAGCCGCGCGTTTGGGTGGAGTACCTCGCCTTCGAGCGGGATCACGGCGAAGCCAAGAACATCTCCCTGCTCACCCAGCGGGCCCTCTCCACCCTGGAACCCCAATACGTCGCCGCGTTTGAGGCGGAGCGGGCACTGGCGTACGTGGGCGCCTCTATATAGTTGGCATAAAGATTCGCTAGTTTAATTTCTGTTTTTTTACTTAATTCCTAAGTCGAACTTTCGGACTGTCGATAGTAATTCGATTCTAAAAATAAGAACTTGTGAATATACAGCTTATAAGATAATTTATAAAATTCGATTTTTTCCTTCGAAAGTGCAAGCTTAAATGTATAAAACATAATAGTTATACACTTGGACCATTGTTGAAGCGTAGTAAAGTGTGTAAAGTTACTTTTTAACGATCTCATCGCTAAGGCGTCCTTTAAAGCTGTTAGGTTATGAGTAATGCACTAGAGAATATCCTTTTACCCTCTTCTGTCGACGGATGTGCTCATAAATCCGAGCTAATTGCGTCTTCCGAAGGTAAACATGGGCATTAACTTTGGCTGGCTGACGCCGCTGCCTCCGCCTCCGCCGCCGCCTCCGCCGCTGCCGCGGCCGACTTCGCCGCCGACGTCGACGCCGCTGAAGCTTTGAAAGCGAGTGGCGGTACAGCAGTTGGCCAGTTCACTTGCGTACGCCGTGGAATCAACACGCACAAGGAAATCCAGCGCATCAACCGACTTGATCCAGTCCGATCCCATAAAAGCCAACGAAAGCGAAATCTCAACTGAGCGCCATGGAGTTCAACAATCGTCTGCTGCTGAAAATCATCGAGCTGGTGAGTAATAGCATTTAAACTGCTCCTTAATCGCTGGAGGCTGCCTAATTTCTGTACAACACAGTTTCGGCTAGTTGACTATGATAAACCCAAGCAATTAAATGGCTCAATTCGACGTTTGAAAGTTGCAACTGCTATTTAAGTAATATAAATGTAATTTTGTATTACCATTATATACGCCTTAAATTGCTACGCCATCAAAGTGATAGATAAACGTAATTGAAATAGTTTTTGTATATATTATATTTATTTTAATCTAAGCTCTTAACTAATAATCTCAAGGGTCTACATGTTCACTACAAAATCCCGCACTTCGCTTTTGATTTGTAAAACACATTTTAGGGCTAGAGATACACATTCCTTTAGCCAACCGCCAAGCGCCTGAATATGGTTATTAAAGTCAAATTGAATTTGTGGCAGCTGCGGATTGGAGTTGAAAATGACGAGACTGTATAGAATGTTTGTCTTTGTGCTTTGTGAGCGTCTGCTTTCCTCCATCCCCAAATTTCCATCCATTTCCTGTTGCGTCTCTAGAGTTTCTTTTCTGGTTGTTTGTTATTTTGTGCCCGCTCTTGTGGAAGAAGAACAACCGGTTTTTTTGGACCACAACAAAGCACTATGACTTCACTGTTTCTGTTATTTTTTCCACAGTCGTTTCATCGTTTTTCATGTTCTTTTTTTGTTTTTGGGTGCGTAGGTCTGGTATTAATGCGTGCTCTTGGCTCAATGATGTCATGACCTCTCCACCTCCCAAATTTAATTTATTTTCGGGGTTCCCAGCGGCATATTATGTGCCGCAAAAGTGAACAAAGGCCCAACTTAGATCATTCTTTTCAATAGAATTTCGTTTTGTCAAGTGCGTTTCCTTTTCACCACGGGTAATTGCCGAATAAATTATTCAAGTGAACTTGCATGTCGAAACTGGCTTTATATCATTTTTAAGGGACATGTATCCATATGCGGGGCAATTGTCCATTTGTTGTATTTGTGCCTTGATAAAGCGCATATATTCCTGGTTTTATTTTTGATCCCAACACATCAACACATATGACATCATTTGTGCGATTCTGTGAGCTTAAAAGAGAGCAAATCTGTAGATAGAGCTGGAATGACTAATATATACAATTGTATGTATGTATGTATATGGGGCAACACAGATTCGCAGCTTGAAATACCTGGAATTTCATATCAATTTGGAGCTTCACGACAAATGGGGGAGTATATAGGAAAGATATGAGGCAATTTACCATAATTAGTTGTTTCCAAAAGACTGAATTGCTGCATGATACTTATCTTTTTTACCCACTGAATGTTTCTTCTATTATATTTTTTTGTAATTATTGAGTGATGTGGGGAAAGTTCTGTATATTATTTAATGACAACGACAGCATAGCAAAGAATATATTGTGCAGCCTTATCTCCGAAACCAGATGAGTGCAGATGCAAGATTGTTTATTTATAAACATTTACATACAAGTATTTGCTTGCTGAAACATTTGGCTCAACTCTGGCTTGCTTATTCCACAAAATTCCATTAAAAATGGGTGTTTTTGATAGCCATTTTGGAATTGAATTGCGTTGCTTTCCATCGTTATGAACTAAAGATTAACCTAATCTTATTACCATACTTTCCTTTATATGTATTCATTATACGTTTATATAAAGTCACTTATCACCAAGGAACCGCCCCGTTTCCCCAATTTCTCTCAATGGGATAGGTGCTTTCGGCACGCAGTATTCTGTACATGATCAGCATTGAGCAATGTGCGAGTTATTGAGTGATCTTATAGCACGGATCCCGGCAAATGAGTCAACTGCCAGTTATTCCGTTGATTGCATCACTGCCATGCGACCCACTTGCCGGGCACTCAACATACGGTGTGTATTATAACGCGGATCATGTCCGTTCCGACCGACCCATCCGATCTGGGTAGGCCACACCCCATCTCCGTGGGGCAGGCGAGCAATCACGTTCGACAAATGCACTCAGCAGTCAAAACCACTACACCGAGAACAATTTGAGTGGAATAGATAAAGTGAAAATTGTCAGAAAT